AAACATGCTTTGTCCTGATAATTTCTAAAGTTTGTAATTGGTATTTTTTCAATTCCCCGTTAATTTCATGTTGAATTTTATTTTTTGGTGGGTTTTGTTGGTTTGTTTTTGTTGCTTGTTTGTTTGTTTTTTGAGACAAAGTCTCTCTGTGTAGACCTGGCTGTTCTGGAACTCACTCTGTAGACTGCCAAACACTGTAGATCTGCCTGCCTCTGCCTCCCAAGTGCCTGGGATTAAAGGTGTGCACCACTACACTGGGCTTGATTTAATTTTGTTTTTGAGTCTATCCCAGACTGATTTAGAACTCATTTTGTAGTTTACGATGGCCTCAGATCCATAGTAATTCTCCTGTTTGAGCCTCCCTAGTGTTGGGATTAGAGACATGGGCCACCATATCAAGTTCATGTCAGACAGACAGGGTTTGTCTGTGTAGCTTTGGAGCCTATCCTGGCACTCACTCTGGAGACCAGGCTGGCCTCGAACTCACAGAGATCCACCTGCCTCTGCCTTTAATCCCTGAGTGCTGGGATTAAAGGTGTACGCCACTAACGCCCGGCAAAATTGTTGATTTTTAAATTTTATGTAGAATCAGAAATCCAGCCATCACCAGTGCTACAAAGCACAGGGGTACATACAGCCTGTTACATACAGGCCCGTCTCAGCCGCCATCTCTCCTCACACTTCCACATCACTCACTCAGAATTCTAGATCCTTTGGGAACTGAGTTTTGACTTCAACCCACTTACGCTGCTTTCCTACATCGTTTTATAACACAGAAGAAATTTAGTACAGAAACCCTGAAGTTCACTGCACTTCTATCCAATGCATGGTGAAGCAGCAACTGAGGTAAGAAAGGAGTCCTCTGAAACATAGTTTTCCTCCTCATCTTTCCATTCTTGATTACCAAATGTCAGTGATGAGTGCTGACACCATTATTAAATTACTTCCCATTGTAACAGATGTGACAGAAAGGTCTGCCTTGTTTGAGGATCACACTGTAGAGCAAGCACATTAATTTAAAACATCTCTAAACTATCTCACCTGGAAACTGAATCAACCTACAGGGAAAACTGTCACTAATGACAAAGGAAATGAATCGGTCTCCTATGATAGCAATTAAGAGCTTCTAGAATAGATAATGAAATAGGTGGTTTTTAATCAGTAATTACTGTAAACCAAGATGGGTTTACCAAGAATAAGATGTCAAACAGATGTCATTTCATATTTAGTAGATAAAACAATCCATTGGGAGCTCAAGAGATGGCTCAGTGGTTAAGAACACTGACTGCTCTTCCAAAGGACCCAGGTTCAATTCCCAGCACCCACATGGCAGTTCACAACTGTCTGTAACTCCAGTTCCAGGGGAATCTGACACCTTTATACAGACATACATGATGTACAATAAATAAATAAATATTTCTTTTTTTAAAGATTTATTTATTTTGTGTATGCAAGTTCTTTATCTGCATTTACACCTGCATACCAGAGGAGAGCATCCAATCTCACTACAGATGGTTGCTGAGAATTGAACTCAGGATCTTTGGAAGAGCAGCAGGTGTTATTAACCTCTGAGCCATCTCTCCAGCCCCATAAATAAATATTTCTTAAAAAAGAAAACAACGGACAAGCAGCCTTTAATCCCAGCACTCAGGAGGCAGAGGCAGGCAGATTTCTGTGAGTTCGAGGTCAGCCTGGTATACAGAGCAAGTGCCAGGACAGGCTCCAAAGCTACACAGAGAAACCCGGTTGGGGGGGGGGGGGCGGAAGAAATAAAGAAAACAACCCATTGTAAGTCAGGAGAATGTGATAAAAATTATTCATTGATTTCAGAAAAACCTTCCCTGAAACTCCTGATAGATAAGAAGATACAATGTATACTAGGTAATATATCTAGGCAGTAACATACAACGTATACTAAATAGCAATATGCAGTGTATACTAGGCAATACAACGAGTACTAGGTAATATAGAAATTATAATAGGTTAATAATATGCAATGTATACTAGATAATAATACAATATGCAATGTGTATTAGGTAAGAATATTTTATTTTGATTTTTTTGAAGCTAGGTTCTCGGAAAGGAATTCAGTCAGGCCTCAAACTTACTGTGTAAACTAGGCTGGCCTTGAACTGCAGATCCTCCTGCTTCAGCTTCCTGAGTACTGGGATTGCAGGTGTGTGCCACTGTTGTGGAATATTAACTAGACAAAGATGTGTTACATTTGTTTATGCTGCAGAATATTACTCTAACTATGTGAAGGTGTGTTACATTTGTTTATGCTATATTTGTTTAATTATGTAATGATGTGTTGCATTTGTTTTACCTTGCCTGCCTAGGGCACCTGATTGGTCTAATAAAAAGATGAAGGGCCAACAGCATGCAGAAGAGGGATCGGTGGGGCTGGTGGCAGAGAGAATAAATAGGAGGAATAGAGAGAGAGAGGGGGAGAGAGGGAGAGAGGGAGAGATGGAGAGAGGGAGAGAGGGAGAGAGGGGAAAGAGGAGAATGAGTGAGAAAGAGAAGCAGCCCCCAGCTATGGAGACAGGTCAAACAGATAGATAGATAGATTAGATAGATAGATAGATAGATAGATAGAGAGAGATAGATAGATAGATAGATAGATAGATAGGAAAAGGAAAGTAAGGAAGAAAGAAGTAGGGAAGGGGGAGGGAAGGAGGGAGAGAGGGAGGGAGAGAGGGGAAAGAAAAAGAAAGCAAGCAAGCTCTGAGGCAAAAATAGATAAAGAGAAACAGATTACAGGTGTATGCGTGCATACATGGCTCAAGAATATTTTTTTTTCACTAACTGAATTTTACACCTATCATTGACAGAGTTCCCTCTGGCTTGTTCACGTCTCTCTTTCCAGTTTTTTAGTAGGCAGTATTATTTATCAGTAACTTAAAAACTAAAACACATCTAACCTATGCAATTTGCAAATAACAAAATGAAAGTTATATAATGGGACAGATTACAAAAATAATGTTTGACTGAGCTAGAACACATGGATTAAAAATAATGCTTAGTAAAGAGATATATGTACCTACATTTACATTTAAAATGTCAACTAAATATTAAAAACACAATTAGAGAGAAGGGACATTTGCCTTAATATTTCTTCATATAAAGAAAAAACGCAATTTCAATTAATCCCAAGTTAATAATATATGTCAACAGTGAGATGGGCTGATAAAAACTTTAGTCACATACTAGTAAGGTGCTGAACATGTTCATAACATGGCTGCTCTCAGTTTTGAATCAGTCAGACAACAACCGGAGCACTGTTAGCCAGTCTTATTGATACCTGCTAACTTAAGGGAATTTCAGATGATGACAATCAGGAATGATGAGGTCACTAAAAGTACCTAATTTAAGTGAAAGCTAAAAGAAATGGGATGTTCTACCTGGAGAATAGAAAACAAGGGGAGACACGACAGTTGTTCTTGCATATCTGAAGCATTGCTATGTTGATGTGGGAGAGTGGTTATAAGTTGTTCTAAAGGGCAGAACTTAAACTAACAGAGAGAAAGCTACAGGAAAAAATTTTAGCTAAAAAATTCAAAGCAAAAGCAAAGCCTCTCTCTCCAAAAAAGGCCAAAGCAAATAGCCACCTCTCAGGAAGGCATGCAGGGAAGGAAGCATTATCATGGGAATAGCCAGATGCATTCCAGAATCTTCCAACTCTGAAGATCCCCAACACTAGTGCTCCTATGTTTGTTTGAACTAGCCTTGCATTTCTGTCAGTCACCAAGGTGGAGTCTGGTTACTCCTTTATAAGATGCTTTCAAAGGTCAGAGGCAGAGCAAGGCAATCCCTTCAAAGCAGTGCCTTCAGGGTCTGCATTCTTATTCTGGAGCTGTTGTGTGCAAAAGCATCACCGAAACACTTACAGAATGCCTTCAAAATTAGCTTCCAACTCTTGGAGAACAGGCAGCATTTTACAGGCTCAGCTACTATGTTGGTGGTAACTATATACCATGATTATTTGATCCAGCTAGAGTCTAGCCAGGATACAGATGTGGCTAGAGTATTCAAGGAAGGACCAAGTAGCTAGGCCATCTTAAACCAAGTCTGTTATTTAGCTTGGCCATCTGTTTATAATTAAGCCTGGCTCTTAATGATATTTAGATGACTTCAAAAACCAAACTCATCCTTAAACAGATACAAACTAACATTATGTAGGCTTTTAAACTAAAAAAAAAAAAAAAATCACTGATTTACAAGTAGCATGACCAGAATAAGAATAAAGTTCACTGCTTTAAGAGAATGAATGCATCCCTTTCCCTCCTTCATTTTTGAAAGAATACATTATATTATAGGGCTATGTCATAGTTTAGCTTACTTAAAATGACTTCAATAAGTAATCTGCCTGTTTGCAATAAACAAGACTAATAAACCTGGAGGAGGGGGGCTCAGGATCCAGCACAGCATTATGGCTCTTTTTTTCTTTTTCCATATTCCTTAAAGTCTTTAAAGTTGATTATTACTCTCATTTCCAGAAGTCATGTTCTTTCAGATACACATTCCCCAAAAAGGAATACTGGAATTATAAATGGTTTCAAGGAGAGAGAATCTGGTTCATATTAGTATAGTTTGCACCTGATATATCATAGGAACACCAACTATGTACAATACAATGTTTCTGATTTTAGACTGACATGTCTTTTCCTTACTAGGAAAGTCCTCCTAGTTTACATCTCACACCCAAAAGATCCATGTACATATTATCTCCTAAATGGAACAGATAACTAACTTTCCTAGTAAAAAAGACTCAAAACCTTGTTTTATAGTTCCCAAAATAGAGCTATTAATTTAAAAGACACTATTAGTGATGAATCCCAAACTAAACATTGTCACCACATTGAGACTTTCAGTGGGAATTAGTGGGGGGTCAGTTGACTTGTTGCCTTTGTAGGGAGTAGCTGTATAATAAATACTTATTCACTTTTTCTCTTGTATTTTAACAGAATGCCTGGTACCCAGTAAATAAAGTTAAGAACCTGTTAAGAACTGCAGTGAAGATTTTGTTCTTTACAGATTGCAGCAAGTCTGAGTTGAGGAAGTTCTGACAGATGCAAAATGTACACCTGTTGCAGGTGCACATACAGCGTAACCGGGCATGGCTGTGAAAACACACAGAAGGACAGGGTTGAGTTCTTTCTTACAAATATGGCACAAGTCGAGTGTGCCAACTTAAAAAAAGAAAGATTTAGGCATATGCAACACTCTTTGTAGAAAGGAAAAGGACAGTGTGGGGCATGCTAAAGTTGTGCAGAATTCCACATTTGGTGAAAACATAGTAAGCAGTAATAGTTCTTCCTCCCTATAGGAAATCTAGGGAATATTAGCTAACACTTTAGAAAAATGTTGGAGGGGGAATGGAATCATTATTAGATGAGTTTTAGTGGAATAAATATGCACAGCAATAGATGGCACCCTCATCTAAATTAATAAAAATGAAACTTGTGAGTAAGCCATAGCACCAACTGAAAGGACAAGGTTTGCTAGCATTGAATAACCACTCCCTCCTCTTCCTCCTCCCTCAGCATACACACATGCCTGAAAACCAGGAAGGAGAAGAGTAACAAATACACAAAAGTCAACAGACGAGTATATTCAACCCTGAGAAGATATGAACAACATCGTCTTTAATTCACCAAGCACCCTGGCTCCCAAAGGAAATCAGAGTGCTTCATAAATTTGTACTAGAAGAAATAGAGGGTTAATTTCAGCTACAAAACACAGCAGCTATAAGTATGATGGATGAGACTCTAAGGATGTAAAAATCTAGTGAGCCAATTGAATCAGTTATGAAATTAAAGGGCTTTCTGACTCCTTTCTGGTTGAGTGGTTTCACCGGTTAGCGCAGGCACATGACGTGACCCATTTCACCTAAACCCTGATTACAATGTGGGGACCTTCAATGACTTCTCAGTGGTCAGACAAACAAAGCCATCATACCACCCATGATGAGGTACTGACTGGAGCAGAACCCACTGAGAAGAGCACCATCTGATGAATTAATGCCATCACTTCCTGTGACATCTGATCATTTTTACAGGCTTCTCAGTCAAAGGACTGGCCCAATCTGCCTTGGCTTAGCTTGTGAGAGCTGATGAGACCACAGTGCACGGTGGCATGGTTGTGGGCATTAGCAGCATCCCAACAGTGCCTAACTCCCAATATGAAGAAAAACAAGAATTTTGAGAATCAATAAGATATTTCTTTTTAAAACCTGGCTTGTGATAAGGAATTACATCACTGCTACCAAGACACTGCCAGCTGTCATACTGGAATCCATCTGTGATTTTATAAACTGAATCTGACTTCCACATCCACAAGGCTCCACCCACCAAAAAGGAGAGATGCAAAGTATGCTGAGCAACAGGGAGATGCTTCATGAGAAGTAGTTTGGTATTAATTACATAAGAAGTGTCTATGTATGTACATTTATCATATATACACACACACGAGTTAGCATGACGTGCTTTAGAGACGCAGCTCTAGTCACATTGCAGTTACCTATGAGGCTGAAGAAATACATTGACATAAGAGAGACGGCACCGTAAGTTACAGCTAGGCAGTGAGTCTGACCAAGCAGTGCGTTTCTAGATATTTCTAAATATTAACAGCAAGGAAGGAGATTTGGCCACCCTATAAGAAAATGTAAACAAAATCCCACAGAATCATAAAGAAAAAGTAACTTACAAAGCAGTTTTTAGAAAGACCCAGATTTTTCTCAAATTCTCTATTCTATCAGTGCTGCCCATGTCTCGGGAGAGGCTGCCTCTGTAATGATCCTCTCTGTAGATAACATACATGAGAGTTTTAAAGCAAAGGTAAAACAGAAATAAGGTTTTTTAAATCTTATATTAATAGGAATGATTTGTCTTCCAATACAAATAGAAAGTCAAAGGCTTGCTGCTTTTTTAAAAATGTTTAATAAAATACCAGTATACCATGACTTCAAAAATCTGTACAAATTAATACCTTTTTGGAAAGTTTTGGTCTTTGTTTATAACAATGTTTAATTACTACTGTTGTATTTGATTATACTTTATTCTAATTTTCATGAGAAAATGACTTCAAGGCTAACAGAATAATAAACAGAATATGCTCTAAAGTCCTGAGAAACGCACTGCCTGAAAAGCTGTTTTGTTACAAAACAGAATTTATACAAGCACACTATTTGAGTAGGATGTCATTAAGATCATGCAATTTTTAAGGCAGTTAGTGAACTATGAAGATAACCATAGTTATATGCTTGTACATATGCATGTATAGATATAATAAATGTACATGAAATTTGTGGCTATAATAATGTAAAATATCTAAATAGTGGACATTCCACTTGTAACTTTTTAAAGCACTTTAAAAAAAGACAAATCCTGAATTCAAACATAAACCCAAATTCAATGTAAATTATCAAAAGACTTCAGAAGTCTTGACACACCAAAGAAAAATTAGTCAACAGAAAAATTTAAAAATGAAATTGTGTCCATGTGGAAATGCTTTATACGCATAAAGCGACATGATGTCAACTCCATTTTATCATAGCAGGATTACTGTCCAATACTGGGTGGTATCTATGCTTTGTTATGCTATCCTGTTAAGACAGCTACAGCCTGCTGAAAAAACATACAAGTACTCTAGAAGTACTGTTTATATCATTTATGACATGCAAACCAAACTTGCAGTTGCTCAAATTTTATCCCTTCTCATTGCAAAGTTTCTTTCTGTTGCTGAACAATTTCTATGTGACAAAGATAACCCATGGCTAATGGCATGCATGCAATGTTACTATGAACCATGCAACACGAAAATGAAGACAGAGCAAGTACTTACGGATACATGGCCATTGTTGTCAATTTAACAAAGATATCCTTACTGGGTGCATCAGCAGTGTTACAAGTGAAGGCTTGAGGTGGAGGCATTTTGTGTTTCCTGCAGAAATCAGTAGGTGAGATACTATGTTCTTGTTTAACTTCATGCAGGTCTGACTTTGCAGCTACAATTAAGCAGGGAATTCTGCTGTCCATAAAATGTTGCTATGGAATAAAAAAATGAAATCAAATATTGATGGCAAGTTCAAAAATTACTATTTAACTAAATGAAAAGACTTCCCCAGACAGACAAAGCAACGGTAATTCCAAAGGGAGAAAACGAAGTGAGAAGAAATGTTTGGTAGCACTAGGTCAGTCTCCTGTCATTATGCATAACCTGGACTGCTATTCTGGTATAGGTAACCAAACAGACCTACCCTAATTTTCAATATATACCTATTTTCTATTTTGAAAAGTATCATTTTCTTTATATTGCCACTAGACTTTTACCACATACATTTATATTTATATAGCTGCAGTTATGCCACACACAGCATTTAAAAATATAAAGTTATATCATCTCTGTACTGTAGAATGTAAAACTATTGTTTTTAGTGTTTGCTTAATATTTCATAAGATATTATCTTTTCTGGAAAACCACTCTTCAACTGTTAGATATCTGGATTTTTTTAAAGGTTTTTGATATTAAAAGCAATACTAGGCTAAATACTTTTATACATATAGCGTTCTCCTTCTATAGACTCTTGTCAATAATCTCCAAATGAATGATACATTTTGCAAACCTGTGGTTTATTCCCTTGCTCTGGCTGTTATTCTTCAGATAATGGCAATATACATAATCCATTTGCATTCCTAACAGCCAAGAAGACCTTCCATTAAACGTTCTCAATCAGGAATACACATCAAAGTCACATGACTGGGACTTTGTTGGTGTACAATGAAATGAGGATTCTTCAGGAATAGGGCACATAGATGCATATATTTAAAACAACAACAACAACAACAAAAATCCCTCTGCAGTCTATTTTGTTGTACTTTTCTGAATAGGAAATACCACGCTGCAGACAGATTCATAAAATCCTAATAAAGTTACAATTAATCATGCACATAAGAACAAACCTTAAAAATCCTGGCACAGTATTCAAAGGACTTGGGATTAGTGACATCATATACCAGGCACACAACATCACAAATGATCTCAGCCTTAGTTAGAAATTCCGACTCTGAGATATCGTGCAGCTTGTAAAAAGAAAAAGATAATGGAAACTAAGAATCGTAATATTGGTATAAAGGTGGCTTGAGAAATTTCAAATAAAACATTATGAAAACATGCATAGCCCAAAATACAGAAAATGATTGATTAACAAAGAATAACGTAAGAATATTAATAGTCAGGAATGTCCACTGAGTACTAATATTTAGAACTACATGAAATAAACTATTTAATAAGAAACTCACAAAACCCTTATCAGAAAGAGTAAAATATTATCACATCATAAAATGTACAATATTTGTTCAATATGATTATCTGAGAAACTATTTCCAAAAACAAAGCGTGGATGTTTTCTTTTTTCTTTTTGGTATTTGTGAGACAATAGTCTCAGCTGTCCTGGAATTCATTCTGTAGACCAGGCTAGCCTTGAACTCAGAGATCCACCTCCCTCTGCCTCCTAAGTGCTGGAACTAAAAGCATATGACACCACTGTGGATGTTTACTAATACTTAGTTGATAGAATCTCCCCATAAGGTTCTAACTTGGTTAGAAATTTGTGTTATCACAAAGTTAATTTATTGTGAACCAAGTCTGAAACTGAAACCATAGCATCCAAAGAGAGCATATAATCTTTCTACTGTATTTCACACTATTTTTCCTCTTTTTATATACTACACTCCTCCCTGATAAACACATAAACTTGATTCAGATTATAGAAAAATCACCAAGCACCAACACTGATTTCATACTAACTTCTAGCCAATAACACTAGAATTTAAAATTAATTATTTTAAAGCAATTAGTTGTTGTTTTTTTTAATTTATTAGCATGGAAGGCACATATGTGTTGCATGTATGTGAACATTAGAGAATAACTTTGTGAATTTGGTTTTCTTCTTCCATCTTTATGTGGATTCCAGGGATCAAATTCAGGACACCGGGTTTTGTGGCAAGTACTGATGCCATCTCACCAACAGTAACTTTAAAAAATAAATAAATAAATAAAGCGCTTGGGAGGCAAAGACAAATGGGATCTCTGAGCTTGAGGCCAGCCTGGTCTATACAGCGAGTTCCAGGCTTGCCAAAGATATAAAGTGAGACACCATATAAAAAACAAACAAAATACCTAAAACAAAAACTAAACAAACAGAAAGATTTATGTATTTGTGTGTATGTGAGGGTGGGGAAATAGGGGGTGTTTGAATTTTGTGCATGAGGTTCTTGCCTCTAGAGACCAGAAGTGGGCACTGGATTCTCTAGAGCTGGAGTTATAGGTGGTTGTGAATTTCTGGATGTAGGTAGGTGCTGAGAATCAAATTTGGATCCTCTCAAGAGGAGTACATGGTCTAAACTGCTGAGCCATCTCTCTAGCCCACCAACAACAGATTTCTAAAATCAAAATGGCAGAATGAAAAGGGAAGATTTTTTGGTTTGTTTTCCTTCTGAGTTTCTTATTTATTTATTATTTATTATTTATTATTCTTTTATTACTGTTTTGCCTGTATGTATGTCTTGTGAGGGTGTTGGATCCTGGAGTTACAAACAGTTGTGAGCTGCCATGTGAGTGCTGGGAATTGAACCCAGGTCCTCTGAAAGAGCAGTCAGTGCACTTAACCACTGAGCCATTTCTCCAGCCCTGTCTGATTTTCTTATTTATGGGGTAGCTAACATACAGTTAAGTGCATAAATAGTTTTACCTTTATCTATACTCGTGTAATAATCACACAGAATCAATGAAATTAACATTCCAATGAATAACCCAAAATAAAAAGTACCACACACATTCTACATACAACCATTAAATGAAGCTAATTTATTTCAGACTCATTTAAAAATGTACCCAATACTTCAAGTCTTTGTTATCACAGAAGATCTTACCAACAAGTATTTCTCCTGTCCATATACATAAACAGTGTTAATTGCATAATAGGACTTATGATCATCACGGATTTTCTTCTGTCTCTAAAAACAGAACCAAAAACTTCAGTTTATAGTAAAATATTAAAGTAACTTCATCAGCACATACCTTTGTCCATGTGGGTGTATTACAAACAAAAAGGCATTCATCTCTCTATATATTGCTATTTATCAGTAAAAACGGAACATAGGTTTTATATTTCTTAGTTCTGAGGGTCTTGAACAAAAGGTGCATTTATTTGCATAAAGTAAAAGCAGAAGCTGAAGAGGAAGTAAACAGGATTAGTGAGCATAGACTGTGGACTGAGTATCTTAAATGGTCTGTCTTACCAGAGAACGTCCAGTGTCCTATCTTTTTGTTCTTTTTGTTTTGTTTTGCTTTTTTTCGAGACAGGATTTCTCTGAATTGTTTTGAAGGCTGTCCTGGCACTCACTCTGTAGACCAGGCTGGCCTCAAACTCAGAGATCTGCCTGCCTCTGCTCTGCCTTCCAAGTGCTGAGATTAAAGACGTGCGCCACCAACACCCAGCCCAATGTCCTATTTTTCCAACAGCTGCATGGCATCTCTCTGCTAACTCTGTCTCCCAGAATTCTCTTGTCATAGCCCCACTTATACTTCCTGCCTGGCTACTGGTTAATCAGTGTTTTATTCATCAACCAATAAGACAAACATCTATACAGAAGGACATCCCCCATCAATAGATTCTAGAGCCATCTGCTGGCTAGCTACATGCAATCTGACCTCACATGAGAACCATATGTAA